AATATTAGAAGTGGTATTGAGATGTAAATGAAAGTAATAATATTAAAAATAGTATTGAAATATAAATAAAAGTAGCAACGTTGGAAGGTAGTATTGAAATATAAATAAAAGTAATAACGTTAGAAGGTAGTATTAAAATATTCGTTCTATTTTATTCTATATATAATATTTATCCTACTTACTAAATATCTATACTTTCTATTAATCTCCATTATTTCTATATACTACCTATACTTCCCATTAATCTACTTATTGTACATCTATTATATTTAAAACCCTCGCCTATTTTTATTATCGACGATCTACCACTAATGCGAACATATTAATTATATTCGAGAATGATAATATAGAATTCAATAAGCGTATTAAAGATATATTAAAAGAAAAAGAAGAATATTATAATTTAATTGCTATTAAACGCTAATAAATTATAAGTAATTAGGTTGATATTAAAATAGCTTTACCAAATAAAGATGAATTTTTATACAATAAGAAGAAAAATACCACGAATCTCTCTAATCTCCTTATTCGCTCGAAGTAATATTAATATATTAAATTACGTACTTCTATAAATATATTGATTAATAGAATTTTAGGGATAAATAATTTACTTTTATTTAATTCCTATTAATGATACGTCCGTCGAAATTTTTTAAATTATTTAAGGTTAATATAAATAACTAGTAATTAAATATTTAAGTAATTGCTTATAGGTAAAGGTATAGAAATTAAAAAATATATAATCATATATAGTACTAGGGTTTATTGATAGTATAAAATAAAATATATAAATAAATTACAAATAAAATAATAAATATTAGTATTTAAACCTAAAGGTAAAGAAAAAAAGAAAAATAAAGACAGGGTATTATTAATATACTAGTAATAAAATAAACGTCTTTAATATTATTATTCTCCTTATCCTCCTTAGAAAGGTTAGTTAGGCCGTTTAAATAAATAAGGGCCGAAAAACCGAGGAACCTTTAATTTACCAATAATAGTATTATTTAGTTTCTTCTTCTTTTTCTCCTACTCCTAGAACTACTTTAATATTTTAAAATAGTATTTTATATCCCTTTCTAATGTAGTAAACCGATCTTCAATAACGGAATAATTAGGGTAGTTAACTAGGGTGGAAATAGGGAGGGTTAGGGGGATAGTATAACCGGCGAAAGGGGGAGGGGGGGTAGGGAGAAAATAATTAGGAAGGAAGTTTTTTTAATAGGTAAAGGCCGGGAGGGTAATAAAAATTTTAAAAACGGGAGGGATAGGGCTGGAAATAGGAGAAGTAAAACGACGAATCTTATTATTACAGATACGAAGGATAATAGGAATTTCGCGCCCGAAGGTAAAATTAATAGAACTATTATAGTATTATATTAATTATTATTATTAGTAAAAATAAAAAATTCAAGAAAAAAAATAAATAAAAATTTATAGGAGAATAACTCTAGCCTTCTCTAAACGAACTATAGGGCTAATAGTATTGAAGATATTATTATAGTATTTATATATAGTACTATTATTGCTGATATCTCTAATTTCCTATAGTAGTTAATAAATTATATATATCCTAAGACGTCTAAAGTTGTAATTAACCCTCTTTTAAATACAAATATAGTACTTCTTTCCTCTATCCGTCTTAAATTTAATATAATAGTACTTATTCCGTATATAATATTAATATGGAATATTATATGGATAACCGTACGGAAGGCCACTACTATTACTATTATCCTTGTCTTTATTATTGTCGTCCTAGTAAATATAATAATAAGTATTATAATTAGATAGGAAAGGAAAAAATAAAAAAAAAAGAATTTATAATCTTCCTTTTTTTTATAAAGGGGGGAGTAATTATAAATTCTTTAACCTTCTCCTTCTCTAATAATTTAGTATAGCGGGGGAAGAATTTGTTCATAAAATACTAAGGTAATTAAAATAGGTAATTAAGAATAATAGGAGAAGTATCCTTATAATAGCGGCGGTAGTTAGCGGACGTAGTGAATTTAGGAGGGCGGGTAGGGGTTTCGGAGGCGGGCGGCTAAATTAAATTAAATGTAAATTTAAAAGAACTAATAAGGAGAAATATATTAAAAAATATTATATTTGTAGAAGGATTATTAATGAAATTAACAAAGCGAAGGGAATAAATAACTATAATATTAGTAATGATTTATATAGTTGTATATAGTATAGTTTAGAAAAGAAAAGAAGAGAAAGGAGGGGAATAAAATAATTCTAAGCAATATATAAAATTTAATGTTAGCGAAGGTACGAGTAGGCTAGCGGATAGGTAGGTAATTATATAAATAATATTTACTAAATAAATTATAATGGTGAAAGAAATTAAATAATAAACTAAAGGACTATCTATCTCTATTACATGGACCGCCAGATTAGGTACATACAATCGAATTATCTTATATACACTCGAATATATTAAATATATTATTGTAAAATGAACCTTGTACTTAAGCCGGTCGACCTTCTATATATTTACCTTCCGGTATATTATATAAAAATAACCGTTTAAATCTATTAAAGACCTTCTACTAGCAATATAAATAGAATTCCGCTTTATTATAATTTTTCGCTATGATTGATGATGAAGAAGATTTTAATTGAAATTTCCTCTTATTTTTTTCCTAATATAGGAGCTCCCTCTTATTATAATTTCTTGCTGTAATTAATAATGAAGAGGACTCTAGTTGAAACCTCTTCTTATTCTTTTCCCGATATAGGACCTCCCTTTTGAAGGGGGAGAGAGGATATTAAATTAAATTTATTTAATCCTAATAAATTTCTAGATAATCTAAACTGAATAAATATATTTCTAATAATTTAATTAAATAAATAGAGATTAATAACGAAGCGTAGAAGGTTAATTCCCCCTGAGGAACAGAGTATGTATTTTCTATAATAAGGAATTTTTATTCGGAATCGCCGACTTACTTTCGGTAGATTTATAAGTAATTACCGTTTTATATTAGAGAGGTCTAGGAACGGTTAGTTCGTATTATAATTAAGACGAAGCCTACCTCCGCCTATATAATAAAGGTATATATACTAGGAAATCGAGGTTATAATTATATACTAATTATATAATGCGCCTACGTCTCCTATTTAAATGAATTAGCGATTTTAGCCTTTATTTAAGTTATACTTATTAAAATTACTTTATTAGGAGTGAATTATCCTAAACGGGTGGTCTTAGCCTTTCTAAATTATATTTGTAACTACTACCTTATGAAGTATAAAGTATTCGGCGATTTTAGCCTTCCTCTAAGCTATATTTATAATTATTATTTTATTAAATATAAGGTACTTTTAATAGATAATTTTAACCTTTATTTAGGCTATACTTATAGTTATTACCTTTTTAGGCGTAAAGTATTCGGTAGTCTTAACCTTCCTCTAAGCTGTTAGTACTAATTTAATAGGTTAATAATTAATTCGTACTATAATAATAATAGGGATTAGTTAATAGTAGGACTATTAAATATTCTTATAAAGGTACTATTAGCGATTAATTCGTATTATAGTAGTAATAGGAACCGGCTAGCGGTGGGATTATTGGATATTCTTGTAAAGGCGCTATTGGTAATTGATTCGCATTATATTAATAGTAAAGAGAAGGTTGGTAAGGACGGTATTAATATAATAGTACTATTACTAATAGCGAATAATATTACTATTTAATAAGGCGATATATAAAATAAAAAGGCGGTCGTCTTACGAATATAAAAAAACGGGAAATAGAAAAGGGGTAATGTCCGTACGGGAAAGCGTATTGATTATATACTATTGAAGTCGATTAAATATAATCGAAATACCTAAAATCCGTAGTAGAATTATATTACTAGTATTAGTATAAAAGGTAATATTTACTAAGGCCGTCTACGAATAATATCGGTATAGTATTTAAATTAGGCTTTACTATTCTTCGCCCGTATATTATTAATACTAAAAAAGTAATCGAATATTATACTTTATAGCGTTTTAACCTTCGAAATAATAACGTAGGTTAAGCCGGACGTAAAATCCTTTTTTAATATATCTAAAATAGTAGTATTAACGGTTATACCTTAGGATTTATATACTATAATAGTATAAACGATTATAATAGGGAACTACTTCTTCGTATAGAAAGTAGCCCCTTTTATAAACTTTTGAATAAATTGAAAGATAGGTATAATATCGGCATTAAGGCTTTCCTATTTAAAATAGGGAAGGTTAATATAATTAAGGAAATATAGTAATAAAATATAAGACGGGACTTCCCGAGGCTAGTTACTATAATGCTAAGCGATATTGTAAATAGTGTTAATAGTACTATTAACCAAACCCTTTTCAATCTAGACATTTTTAGTTAATATGATTTTAATACTAATAATTAAAAGTAGTTACTTATAAAGGTTGTTAGTATAAATAAATTCCACTTCGATAGTTCTAGTACTGGTATAATCGGTAGATACTTAAATAACCGGGGCCCCGAATCGTTTAAAATAATTTTAATTATATTCCCTAACTTAATTGTTAATCGGGTATATACGTAATACATCTTTAAAAATACTAAAATCGTACCCTTCCTATTATAATTTAGTATTTACCTATATAAATAAGAACTCCTACTATTCGCGGGTAGGCTACGAATATTGTAAACCTTTAAATACGTTTCGAAATACCGCTTATTTATTACTACCTTATTAAATAATCTATCTAAATTTAATAGTCCAATCGAACGAATAGTATATTAATTTTCCTACTATATTTTCGGGTAATTATTACCCGTATAACTATATATTAATTAGGGACTTTTCTATTACAAGAGGTCATTAATAGAAATCCCCTATTAAAACAATACTCTTACTATTAAAGAAAATATTATTATAGTTTGGAAATACCTACTTCAATTATTAATTTAAGTAATATATTATTTTAAAACCGATTATCGACTTCTCGTCCATCATCAAATACTACAAATAATAAAGCCTAAACTATAAAGACGCTAGGTCGTTAGGGCTCAGATTTGGTAGTATAATACTAGTTTTTGAAATAAGTAGCCGAAGTAGCGAATATAGCGTAGAGCTATTAATATTATTAGCCGCCATACTAGTAGGAGCAATTCGTATAACAATAGGAAGCCTCTATTTATTGGTATACTGGCGGTTATTAGGTGCTAATTCCTCTAAACGAATAAAGAGTAATCGAATAATATACGACTTATTAATACTACCCTTACTATTCAATTATATTCTTAAGGGTATAAGATTGTTACTACGAAGAAATAATTTATAATATCCGACGAATATATTATAAATAAAGTATTAGTCGGGGTTAAAATTATCTACCGCAATACTAATAACCGCCTCAACCTCGAATATATTAGAATAATTAAACTTTATACCTTTTTAATAATTTAAGATATTAGCTATAATACTATTATACAATCTATAATAGGTCTACTAATTATATTCGAAATCAATAGAACGTTAGTTAAAAAGATTAATATCTTTGTTAATGCTTATAGGCCAATCCGGGGCTTCCTAAGTTATACGTATCCAATCGTCCTATTATATTTCTTTATCGGGCGGTACAATTTCTATATCATCCTTAGGCAGTAGTTTGAATAATTTACTATAGTAATTATATTTATACTAATTATAGATCTTTCAATAGTAGTTATATACTTTGGACTAAATAGTATACTCTACCCCGTCGACTACCTTTAAATTAGTATCGAAATAATAAAGGTAATAGAATATCATCTTAATATAGTAGAAGTTTTAATATATATCAAATATAATATCCCCCTTATATCTAGATATATATTTCAATATACGAGCCTCCTTATAGAAATACTATAGTCGAGAATTCTAATTAATATATATACAGAACTATAAATAGGTTAATTCGTCAAATATTAAATTTTACTAAAAATATTTATTATATTAAATAATATAATTTTATACTTTATTATCAATACTAATAATAAAACGGATTTAGGCGTCCTTTAGTCGATAGTCTATAAACTGGATTATACGTATACCCTCGTATAGAAGTAAATAGAGAAGATAATAATAGACCTCCCAAATAAATTAGTCTCTTTCTAATAATAACTTATTTATTAATTTAGTAATAAATAAAAGTAATAATTTATGGTTAGAAATACGAAGGAGGACCTAGGCTGCGAATTACTAGTAAAATAACGACTTTATGTCAGCCTTCGAATAGTATTCAGTAATATAATAAAGAATAATTTAAATACTAGTATATAGTGAGATATTAGTATTGGCTAGCTAATCTAATAATAAAATAGGGTTCTAAGTATTAATATTAGTATTATTACGTACAATATTAAATATATTGTATAATAAGTTAAGTTTACAAATAATATATAGATGGTTGTATATCAGTTAAGGGAAATTAAAGCGGTATATGGACTTTATAATTATTGAATTATTTAGTAATTTATAACGCCGTAGATAATACGTTGTATTATATTAATACCGGTCAATGCAATTAATGATACGGAATAACGTACTAAAAATCAATTATTTGTATTCCCCTATACGGATAGTTAATACATTACCTTCAACCGCAATAAAAGCTTTATAGGGTTCTAAATTAATTGCTATAATATAGATACCTTAAAAAATAATAAACGTATCTTTACTATCGAGTATTTGAAATTATATTTTAAATATACCTTTATACTAATAGAAGCTGTAATTATAAGGACTACTACGGGTTTACTATTTATATTAATCCTAATAGTTGGTAATACGGAATTTAAATATAAGGATATACTACCGAAAGGCCTTATACCTCTTTTGGAAGTCCTATATACCAATCGCTAGGTTATTGCGAAGATTCTCCTATATGATTCTACTGCGTTTGCGTTTATTAATTTCTAATTATTTATTATACCGAAATATAAATTTGATTAAAGACTTCCAATATATATTGGTGGGTGTAAAGGTTATAAAGAACGTAAGTATACTAAATCCGTAAATAAATATTTTTAGTGCCTACTTTTTAGCCCCCTAGTATAGTCGGGTACCCTGTAATATATTTGTATATTTTACAATAAATCGGAGGATTTATTCGCTCTAGTTAATACGGCCTTTAAAAGCCGCCCTGAAATCTTCTACCTATAGATTGCCCTAGTCGGGGTTATAACGAATATAGAAAGAGTTTTTTGAATTAATCTAATTGCGTATTAAAATATTAAAGGTAATGAAATGGAACCGGGGATAGCGAGTAAAGCGGCTATTCTTCTACTTTATAGTATATTTAATATAGTTACGATATAGTACTTTATAAAGATATTAAATTATAAAGTCGGCCTAGTTTTAAGGGTAGAGGGTTAGGAATACCTATAATAATAATAACTATAACCGGTTAAATTTGCTAATTAGAGTAGGCTTAATAAACCCTAGTATTTATATAAAATTACGGATTCTTCCCTATTTATCCGGTCTTGATAATTATAGCTTTAGGTTTAGCTTTAATTCTAATAATGAGGGGGTAGATAGGAAATTAGGATTAGAAGTACGGGTAGGCTAAATAGCCGGAATAATAGAAGGATTTAGAGTAGCTGGGGCTGGGTCTAGGTTTAATACCGGAGTAAGATGTAAAGGAAGCTTGGGCCTATATACGGGATTGATATTAATATATCAAAGAGGTAAATACTCTAATTGCTATCCCTATCCATACCCTTAATTATTTAATTAGTTGATAAATTAATTAAATTAAGTTTGGTTAATTATTAAGTTTGATATAATAGTTATTTCCTTGTTATCGATATTAACATTGTCTTCCTTATTAATATTAATATCCTTGTTGAAAATATAGGGGGTGAAGCGGTTAAAAATATTGCTTTATTCTAGTAATTTAAAAAGATGGGTCTCGTTAATAACGATATTATAATATCTAGGGTGGTTATCCTTTAAATAATCTAATTATATCTGAACGTTACATTTATTAATATAATAATTTCGACGAAATTATCGGTTAATCTACTCCTAATTATTTATATTCTGTAGATAGAGTATAATAATATCAAATTCTTTTAATAGAAAGGGTAATCGATTATATACTAAGCTAAAATTTTAAAGAAAATTAATAATATAGCTGTGGTAATAATATTAAATTCCCTAGATAAAATAGACGTTGATATATACGTAGATATGGGCAATTAGTTAAAACGACGCCGAAACCGGAAACGCCGATTTCTAATCGAGGAGTGCTCTAAAACGAAAATTAATAACGGCAATCGATTTAGGAGGGTCGTTTACGTCCCTTACAATATCCTACGACGAACGTAGCAATAGTATTATATTATCGTTACCGATAGCTATCGATAGCGGTACTCGTAAACTCGAAAATAGTATTTACAACCCGCTCGCAGAAATCTCAATATACAACGACCCTAAAACCGTACTTACTACGAAGACTTCGGAAAAAATAAAAGAAGATAATAAAATATTAAAGATATTTATTATTAGAGTAAATAAATCTATAGACTACAATACTATTTTAACCGAGGATTAATATTAAGTTCGAGAATTACTTTTCGAATTTGCGAAAGTATATATTAAAAAAAACAGGTCTTTACAATCCGAAGTTAATAAAGTTAGAACTAATTAATTTATTACTAAAAAGATTTCGATAATTTAAAGAAGGATATTTTAAAGGAAATTAAGAAAGGCGCTTAGGAGGTACCGAAATATTAGGCCAATATTGTAACGAAAGTTGTTCCGATTAAAATTAGTACTACCTTTTAATAATTATTTACTATTATTATTAAAAAATTTACCCCTTCTAATTTGAAATAGTAATTTATAATTAAGGGAGCGATAATTACTATTAAATTTATAAACTACTTAAACGAAAATACGAAAACGACCCTAATTATAAATTTAAGTAAGAAAAAATCCAGTTTAATAGTCCGTATAGTTACTAGAATACTAATAATCAGAAATTATATAATTATATTCGATAAATTTACGCGTAATTAATATTAATAGAATTAAATATAAGTTAAAGAAATCTTTAGTCCGAATACTTTTATTATTATAAATACTATAAGTATATTAATTTAAAGCGTATTTTAAATTAATATTAATAATTATATTATAGTAGAAACCCTAACAAGAGTAGTAAGGGAAGGAAATACGGAAGTAGCTATTATTAGGATTCAATTATGAAAAAGAAGGGATGGAGAAAGTAAGGGTTTATTCCTTATAAGAATTGTTACTATATTAGTAATATACTTCCTTTAGAACAACCTCTTTTTCTAGGACGGTAGCGTATATCCGTACGAACTATTCTAAATTTTAAGTAACGTCTAATAAGATTATAAATATTAGAGAATTGGATATATAACGAAGTTTTATTGTTAGAAAGATTCTTACGCTTAATATAGCGAGGCTAAATATAAAAGAGATTGTTTTAGTAAAGTAAATTATTTATTTAATAAAGATTAATTATTTATTTATTATAAATTATATAGGAAGAAGGGATATTTCGCTTATAATTATAAGAAGTACCCTATTTTTCGGAAGGTTATTGCGAAGGCGTCTATCGTATACATTAAAAGGCCACGGGCGTTCGCCTTTTATAAGAACCCTATTAGGAAGGTATTAGAACCGATAATAGAATTTATAGACGAGGGTATCCTATTAAACGCCCCCCCTAATTCCTATAGTATTACTACTTTAAAGAGACAATTCGTAGGAAGTATAAAGAGACGACGGTTAAAAAAGATTATTAGTTAAATTTCCTAATTAAAATCCTTAACCCTATAAGGCCTAATTAATATATATAACCTATATTTATAAAACGTAGGGGAGAATTGGACGTATAATAATAATAATTCCTATACGGCCGTAACCCCCCCTATGGAAGTAATACCTCTATCCTCCGCTATAAAATCAAAAAGAACCCAATTTTAAAGTAAGTAATAATTTAATTAAAAATACTCTATTAGAATATAAGAAAATTGTATAAAAGAGGTAAACTTTTATTCGAATAAGAGGAGACTTATAATATTATAATAATTTAGAGATTAAATAGGAATTTAAATAGGGATATCTATTATTCGAAAAGCGGGAAGTATTCCGGGGTTAATTATTTAAAGGGGAGAAAAGCAGTAATATATATAAATAAAAAATAGGATTTAAAAAACCTAAATTTTTAATTTAGAAAAGATTAGATTGTAGTAATATTTAAAAACCGGAGGGAC